ACAGACCAAGTCAGTAATGAGTGTGTCTTGGACACCTCCACCTGCTGGGTTCATGAAATTAAATTTTGATGGGAGTAGTAGGGGGAACCCTGGACAATCAGGGATTGGGGGTGTCTTTAGGGATGAGAATGGGGTCATTTTTGCCTTGTTCTCAGGCCCAATTGGAGTAGGTGACTCTCTTAGAGCTGAGATCTTTGCAGTTATGGAAGGAGTCCAGAAAGCCAAGGAGATGAACATCAAAAAAATCTTAATTGAAGGGGATTTGGAGGTGGTGATAGGGTGGCTGAATGCAGACAGCAATGGTTTATGAAGGTACAGTAATCAGAGGAGGAAATTTGAGTGGCTGGTGCGGGAGATGGAAGTTGAAATGTGCTGGGTCAAAAGATCAGCCAATTCTCTAGCTGATGATTTAGATAAACAAGGGGCAAAAAGGGATTCAATGTTTTGGGCTAAGTTGTAATTTTTTGTCTCTACCTATTCTTTTGTTTCTTGATTGTACTTGGAAGATAAGTGTGTTTGTCTTCCTTATGTAACCTCTTTGGTGAATTAATGAAATTGTTATTGATCAAAAAAAAAAAAAGGATGACCACTTATAACTTCCTCCACAAGTATTATTTTTCAAGGTCAAATCTCCAATTCCACTTGCAAGGTAAGGCCCTATTCATAGTCCTCCCCTCACCTTGGACTCACACACCCTATTCCATGCAACCATATGAAAAACTTTCTCCCCATCATTAGGCCCCTCCTAAAAATGTCTCTACAGAGTTTCTCTACATGTTTGCAAACAAGGCATGGTGAGCAACGACAAATAGTAGCCAGTAGGTGAGCAGATTTGAGAGGGTACTTTGTAAAAGGCTTACTTTACCTCCTTTTGAAAAGTAGTATCTTTTTTAGCCTACTAGCTTACATCTTGAACCTTTCAATTATGGGATCCCAGATAGCTCCAGACCTGTAATTAGCACCTAACAAAGTTTCAATTTTAGTTCTATCTTCAACCTATGATAGGGTATCAGTCAGTGGCAACATTTGAATCTGTTTTTTATTTTCTCTCTCTTGGGGTTGGTTTTGGTTTGTTTAGTTTTAAGGCAATTAGGAGTTGTTTTAAGGTTTGTTTGGTTTGTTTAGTTCTAAAGCTGTTTTAAAAGTCTATATCTTTATTTAAGGTTCCCTATGGATTTGCCTTAGTTTTAAGGCAATTAGGAGTTGTATTTGGTTAGATTTTTAGTCAAAATTAGAGTCCATGAAGGGAGACGAGAACTATAAAGAGAGTCATCATAATAGAAATTTAAGATGAGAACTATCATAAAAAAGAGATGAGAACTAATGAAACAAAAAATTTCTTTTGAAGTTACCTATGCGCCTTCTCTATCTCTTTTGTATCTGTAAAGGTGTTATCTTTATTCTCTCTCTTATTTTAGATCTGAACTTCTTTCATTCATAATTTTTTTATTGGTAATGGAAACTTTTATTGAGTATTTAAAAAACCTTGATATATACAACAATTCCTTATCACTTTTTTTTTCTTTTTTAATCAGTAACAATATGAAGAATCTATATAAATATATTAAGGTGAAATGTGTACGTAAGAAGGCCTGAGGATGAGGGAAATGGAATCTAACAGTATTTTTTGCCTTTTTTTCATAGAAATTACAAGAATGCCACTCTCTCTCCTACCAACTCTCTCTTTCTCTTACAAATTACAAGAATGCCACTCCCTCTCCAATTGAAGGAGACCTTAGCTCGGCATCTCGGCTGCTAGGGGACCTGCAATCAAAGGTAGTCGAGTTCAAGTTCGAGCCGAGCCGAGCCGAGCTCGAACTTCTAAGCTCAAGCTCAAGTCTCTAATTCGAATCGAGCTTGAGCTAGATGACACATCGACCACTGAGGGAGACCTTGGCTCAGCACCTCGGTCACTAAGGGGGATCTCGGCTCAGCACCTCGACAACTAAGGGAGATCTCAACTCGGCACCTTGTCAACTAAGGGAGACCTTAGCTCGACACCTCGCCTGCTAGGGAAACCTCAGCTCGACACTTTAGCAGTTGAGGGAGACCTCAGTTTGGCACCTCAGCAATTGAGGGAGACCTCGGCTCGGCACCTCAGTTGCTTGAGAGACCTGCAATCAAAGGTAGCCGAGCTCAAATTTCCGAGCTTTTGACTCGAGTCGGGCTCAAGTATCTAATTCGAATCGAGCTCGAGCTTGATAGTTTATGAGCGAGCCCCTGCAAGGCAGGGCCCCCTCCGCTAGTTTCATTAATTAAAAGCAATCAAGTATTACAAGAGGATGTTAGTTTACCATACAAATAGATCTTGTGAACATAACCCCTGCTAACTCACCTCATAAACTACTTTTTACATTTGAGCCCAAAATAATTGTTAACTATTAACCCCCTATTTAGTCACACAATTAGTCAATCTTTGTACACATTGGACTTCTAGTTGCATGTCTCTTGAAAACCATCTAAAGCACCTGATTTCATTTCTGCAGTTCCAATAAAGCAGTACTAGTCTTCATTAACCAACTGACAACTACTTTGGAGTCACCTTCAATAAAAATCTGTCACCTCCCATTTCCTTGACTTTTTGCACCCTAAATACTGCTGCCAAAAGTTCTACCTTGACTGAATCTCCTTCAGCTATTGGACCTGAGTACATCACAAGTATAACCCCATTCTCATCCCTTATTTACACCCCAATTACAGAAGGCCCCGGATTAACCAAACCACTTCCATCAAAATTCAACTTCAACCATCCCCTTACTGGTGGGGTCCATTCCTTTTTAATTTTGGATTTTTCCATGACGATCCTGCAACTGCCCTCCAATTCCGGAAGAAATCATCCAATGTGGATCTGAGAACAGGTCCATTGTCTTCACCTAGTGTGCTACCCTTAATATAATACTTTCAGTTAATGTCTCCTTGCTTTTTTGTTTGATAAGTAACAAGGATTTATTCTAAAGCAGATAAATGTTTTTAGTGATTCTTTTTCTTTGACTTCTGCTTGTAAGCTGTAGGAAAATAACATAATTAAGAAAGTATAGTTCTCCAAAAATGATACCCTCCAATGGACCGACATGGAAGGCCTGTTTCCTTGTGGTGATCATTTCCATAAACTTGGGATCGGTCTATGCTCTGCAACATGCTTCTCCTGTCCCCCCTCCCCAACCCTCTCACCCTCTTTATATTCTCCACACCAACAATAGAAACCTTCTTTTTTTTTTCATATAGCACACACGCTCTTAATCAGTTCCAACACACTTGACACTTAAAGCAACGTAAAGAGTCAGAAAAACAGATTCAAACAACTAGAAAAAAAAAAAAGTGAGGATACAAGGTAAAAAGACTTACTTGTTTTCATTAGTTTCATCTGCATCCTCTTCTTCTGGTTTATCTTCTTTTTGAGTCGAATCTTCATCCGGAGTGTTTAGAAGGTCTTGAGCTGCTCTAAGAGCTTTCAGCCTCTCACGTCGAGCTGCCGCAGCTTGCTCGATTGAGTCCTCTTCGGTAGTCATGGCTTCACCTATATGACATTGAAAAAAAATTGACGAAAATAAGCACGCGCAATCTACTAATTATCCAGATGGCTAGATGGTGAAATCCGTGGGAACTCGAACCAGATTGGGGTCCAATCCCATTTTCACCCTCTATGACTGAGGACGCGGCTCCACGAGGCAACATGTATCGACAAGAGCAGAGACGGGAAAGAAGAGTCGTGCATAAATTAAAAAAAAAAAAAAAAGACCTCTACCTGCAATTCTCATGAAGAAGCCATGGCTTGAAGGTCCAAACTCCAAAGGCCCATTGGGGGAAAAATTGAAGTGAAAAGGAAGAAAAGGGAAAAGAAAGAGAAATGAAAGAAGAGAAGCTTACCAAACCAAAAACCTTATTCCTCGCCCCTTCGTCACGAAACGAGCTCCCGCTTTCGCAATCGTAGAGACAAGCCAAGAATCGAAGAAATTCAACTCCGCTCAGCGGTTCTGGTTTCAGAGGAAAATCGGTAAGGTACCGACTACCGAGGTTAAAGTAGATTCCACATGACCACATCTTAGTATTACGAACTGGGCCTCTAGGCCTGGGCCTTAGGTCGGTGCGGATTAAAAAATTGGGTAAATTACAAAGAACCCAATAAGTTAAAAAAATTCTCTTAGACTTTCACTTTGCGACAAATATACCTCTGTTAGACTTTCAAAATGCACCCTAATTGGAATCATGATTCAATTTTAATCTAATCTTTTTATGAACTTTAATCATCATAAGTTCATAACAATTGAAATGGTTGAACTAAAAGGCTTATTGTTTTGTTTTTTAGTGAATAAAATTTTAAGAAGGTTTGGGGGGCGCTTCTTAATAAAGCCAAAGTTTTTTTAATCTTTTTGAAAGGCTTCACAATGGAAGGGTAGCACATTCCCCAACTCATAACCTCCCCAACCCAGGCTTAGGCAGGATTCAATCTCAAGTCTCCGCTACAACCAAGAGGAGACCTTACCAACCTGCTTTATTCTTAAACTCTAATTGAGCAAAAGATAAAGGAGTAAATCATTGATTGTTATCTTCCTAAAAAAAATATTGATTGTTATGGGCGCTTAAATCATCTATTAATTTCTACTTCCACCTAAGTCCTTTTGGATCTACCATACTGGCGCGGAACCTCATCATTGGTTCCATAGCCCGCTGAACAGCCATCACACTCAGCTAATCTTAATTCCAAATCACCTCTGCCAACTTTCTCTAATTTTACTATCTATAGGAGATTTGGAGCTACTCATGGGTTTCTTTGTAAATTTGTATATTTCATTGCAGTGTTCTAAAAATCGACCCAGAAATAGAACTGCTTTTGTCTCTGGTTTCTGGGTCAGTGGGTCAACCGTCTGGGTATGGTTCAACTTGTGATGCCACAAATGAAAAACATAAATATAAAATATCCCAAGTAATAATACAATACTATATAAAGAGTATTCTTATTTCTTATTTTTTCATTTATTTTAGACCAAAATCCATTTAAATGTGGGTGTTATTATGATTCATTTTAGATTTCAGAGAAAGATCAAAGAATTGAAACAGTTTTTGAATCAAACTGAATCAATATTTTCATTTTATTTTTGATTCAAATAGGTTGAATGAATATTTTCATTAATTTTGATGGGGAAATCTGAATCAATATTTACATTTTATTTTTGAATCAAACTTCGATTGAAAGCCAAAAAAGATATTGACTCAACCGAGGGGATTGGGGAAATCAAACGTCAATATTTTCATTTTGATCCAATTTGAATCCAAAAAAAGATATTGACACAATCAAACGTACTTTGAGCAAAGGAGAGAAGGAGAGTTCTTGTATAAAGGAAAAGAAGAGATTCAGACTCCAGAGTGAAAAATACAGAGAAAAACACTAAAGTGATATGTCGATTGGGTCATTTGGGACATAAATGATCTTTTCAATTTCTTTTATTTTTGTTTTTAAGTTTTTTTTTTAAATCAAGCTGCGAACCACTGCTTAGGTTGAATGGTTTGATGGTTCAACCATCCAGATCAGCAGTTTTTTACCAAATCAATGGTTTTTCACATAATAGCAGTTTGGGCTTTAAACAGAACCAGCAACATGACTCGTTTTCGGGCCAGATGGTCCAACCACCCGGGTTAACAACAGTTTTGAAAACCTTGCTTTATTGTGACCTCCATCTGTTCTAATTTTACTACTCACCCATCTAAGTATACACATTTCTGCCACACATTTTTTGAACATTCTACTTGATTATATATTAATTATATGATAATTTATGATATTTATATGTGGTTATTGACTATTAAATTCTTTTTGGAATTTAATTTAATTTAAATTTTTTAAGAATAAGTGGAATTCAAAATTCAGATAAACTTATTTTGTCTAGATATAATTATATAGTTTCTCGCTTAATATTTGATTTTATAGATTTATACCAGTTTATATAGGTTTATACTAGCTTGTATAGAGTTTGATTTGGTGCCCTTGGAGAAGAGTTTGATTCAGTTTGCATCTTGACAGGAAATGCTTAAAAATAAGTGCTTAGGACGACCAAATTCTTCAATAGTTGCCTAGGAGGACCAAAAAAGAAATCAAGACGGAGGCTTTAGGCTATGTTTGAGAATGCTTAAAAATAAGTGTTTATTTGGGCCAGACCGTACCATTAAGCATTTATTGGTGTTTGGGAAATAAGTCCAAAATAAGTGTTTATTTTTTAAGCCAAATTTCCAGTTATTTTAAGTGCTTATACAATAAGCACTTATTCAATTTTTTTTCTTATAAAAATATCCCTAGTTAAAATTTAAAATACCAATTATAAAATTATCCCTAGTTGCATTTTATAAAAGTATTTCCGTAAAAGTGCTTTTATAAAAGTGCTTTCATAAAATTATTTTTATAAAAGTACTTCCATAAAAGTGCTTTAATAAAAATATTTTTGTAAATGTACTTCTGTAAAAGTACTTTTATAAAAGTGCTTTTGTAAATAAAAGTTATTTCATAAAAGTAATTTTGTAAAAGTGCTTTCGTAAATTCTAAAAGAAAATGAATGACAAAATAGTCACATGCTTATTTAAGTGCTTATTGGAGGAAAAGACTACCAAACGCCCAATATGAAATTAAAAGAAAGTGAAGGACAAAATAGTCACAAATGTTTATTTAAGTGCTTATTGGAGAAAAAGACTACCAAACTCCCAATATGAAATAAGTGCTTATTTTTTAAAATAAACACAAATGCTTATTTAAAATAACCACTTGAAAAAGTTGGGTGCCAAATGCAAATAAGTGCTTATTCGAATAAACACTTGTTTTTAAGCACTTATTCAATAAACACTCCCAAACATGGTCTCACTAGAAAACACAACTATTAGAACATGCTCTCAGCCCAATAAAAAATTGCCCCATAAAATAAATGTTCAAAGTATAACTATATAGTATAACAATAGTTAGAAAAGGCAATTTTAAGAGCCTTATTGCATATGCTTAAGATATGCATGGATGAGATAGAAAAATTGAGATACACATGGATCTGCTATGGGCAATACTCAAATAAATCCTGGAAAAAATACATCCAAACAATTAAACTTAAATCTAAAATAAGTATGTGGTAGTGGATGTGCATAAAAACAAATAGTTTAATAAACGAAAGTGTAAATTATCAAGATAAACTAAGAAAATGTGGGAAATAATAAAAGAATTAAAATACTTTAAAAATTACTAATTTCAACGATCAATCAATTATTTCATTTCTTTTTTATTTTCCTATTAATAGAGTATCAATAAAATAAGTTGATAAAAATGACAACGAACAACTAAATTTTAACAAATTGTAGTGGCGTAGCGATAAAAAATTCCAATGCTCGGCACCAATACAAAATATTGACATATTTTAATATTTTCATGATATATTTCCATTTTCATGGGCACCAATACAAAATATTATTGAAATTGACACATGACATGATAAATTTGCAACAGTATTGCAAATATGTGGAGCAATGGTATCATTAACTGCCCAAGAAGACAATAACCATTTCATCCAGCTCAAAATTCTTGGATGTGACTTTAAATATTGGCTTTTGTTTAGGTAACAGATTATTTGGTTGATCTTTTAGGATCATTTACACAAGAGTATGAATTTTGCTTGAACTTGCTCTGTTATGTAGGTTTAAATCTTAAAGCATGTGGAAAAAATTCCAATGTATTACTGTGAGTTAACATTAGTTTCTTAGTTTTGTTTGATGGTTTTAAACAAAATAATAATACGAAAAAGTATAGAATTGCTTCCTTTACCATTTCATAAAATATCATTGTGGTATTTCCACATATTTCCCAATATCTCTAAGCAAGATCTGTTTAGTATTAACAAAATAAAAGTTGTGGAAAAGAAGAGAGGGAAAAGTGATCGCATACATATTAGAAAAAGAAGAGAATGGTCTGCCAATTGGAAAGAAAAGCTTAATCTCCCAATTAGCCAGATTTCTTTACATAGAATATAGTGATCCACTTAAATAAAAGAGAAACAACAATTCTGCCTCATTGAAGTAACAAAATTGAACTTGTTTTTACCCTTGATCGACTACTAATTGATTGTCCACCCATTAGGCTGGTCAGTGGTGAGTGTTCCTCCTTACCACTTCCTACAGTTTTTGTCGCATATTACCTTTGATCCCCAATCTTGCTGCCCCTGTATTCCTGAAAAAGAATGGCTACCATTTTGGTGGTGTCTTCCTTTACCACCTCCTTCTGGGCATTTTCATCCACACTCCCAATGCTCGGCTCATCTGAATCCCATAGCCTGAATCATCAAAGTCCACTTGATGAGCATCTAATCATCTCCCCCTTCCTCGTCCATTTTATCTGGGGTTAGGGCAATTTCCATTTCTGCTGTTGCAAGGTTTGATCAGTCTCCACTGAAGAGGGCTTGCTGCAGCCTTCGATACAATGGCCTCTTTCAGGCCCATGTAATGAAAGGTGGACGATGATAAATCCCTTTGTTGTCCATTTGGAACTAGACCAGGCATGTGATCACTTAATCTCACACTGGCTCACCCTTGGGACCTGCTCAAGCCACTAGTGTCTCATCATCATCTAAGTCCTCCCAACAGTATGGGTCAGCTACATGAATCCTGTTTTCTCATTCCATTTTGTTCAGTGTCATATCTGTCATTAGATTATGAGCACTTAAATAATTTCTTACTACCTCCACCCAAGTCCTTGTCAGTCTAAACCTAGCTCTTCTAGCCCCTTCAACTTGTAACAGATTGTTTCTTCTAATGGGTGCTGCAAAATCTTCCATGCACATCAAGCCACTAGTGATCTGGTTCAGTTAAACTCACCTAGTAGATGAGTTTATTAAGCCATTCTCAACTGGCCAGCTGTCATCCCTTTTACCTTCCATTAACATGCAGAGAATCCTCTGAGCCATATGGAACATCTAGAGAAAAGAGAAGATGAGATTTTACCAAAAAAGATAGAGTGACCATAAAGAAAATGGTTCTCAGATGATGCCTCTTAATCCACCAAAAATATAATGTTTATCTCATCTTTAAGTACAAAATCCATGGTCAGCCACTCAGAAAAAGTCCATGTAGATCTCCTGGAGCAAAAGTCACCTTATGAATACAAAAGGGTGAACATTTTAGTGTGGATCCAAAACCATTTCAGTATATCTAAATTATGTAGAATTACCCAGTAGTGCCTGCTTGAACAGTCATTTCCAGTCAGGCATATTCAATGTAACCACTTGTCAATTCCAGGTCCCAATTGTGTCATCACCTGGTATGAAACTATGAATTCATTCCCTCTATTAGTGGACTTACATAGAATCAAGAAAGAATGTTAAGCATAAATAAAGCTCATGTCTTTCTGGATAATATTCAACTTGATGGAGTACTTATGATTTTCAAATAAAAGGGCCATCCAGCAATTTCATGGTCATCGTATTAAACAAACAATTTCTGGCCCATGAGATCTCCAAGATGGGGAATCCAGTCATAGGCCTCCTTCTGCAGATATAATTGTATGTACAGCTACGCAATTGGCTGATACAGAAAACTTCAATCTGCAACTGCATTGTTGATTGCTGTCACAAGAGGAACTGTTTTAAAATTTCAACTACTGGATTAACTTTAAAACCTTCTTTGAGATTAGACCCCTCTCAACCATGTGATCCCAAAACAGGCCTAAGATGCTGCTGTCACTGACATAGAAAGCAGTAAAAGATTTGTAGATTTTAAGTGTTATCATCAATTTCCTCTTAGCCATGTCATCAAACATCTCTGAAGCAGCAATTGACTTCCCAGCTTTCATATATGCAAAGGCCATACTGGTGTACACAACGCTATCTCCTGAAATTCCCTTTCCTTGCATAAGATGGAAAACCTTTTGAGCACAGTCAATATTTTCCCTCTTACACAGCTTTCGTATAAGCGCCCTGTAAACTGAGACATCTACACATAGGCCTCTTTTCACAAGCTCATCAGGGAGTTTTACAACAGCTTCTTCATTGCCTTGGTTGCAGTATCCATCCACAATCCAAGAATAAGTGTAATAACTCGGACAATATCCTGCACTCAATTGGTCATAACTTACAAGAGTTACGATTAGAATCCTTGAATCTCAATAAGATGTTCACTGGTTATTAATGAAAATCATGGGAACCAGACATTTAAACAATGACCAACATAATCAAAGCAGTTCATTATTTACCAGAAATTGATGCATTAGATTCACTTGCAAGATGTAATCCAGTCACATGTTTTACAAGAGTTGCAATAAAACCCTTGAATCTCAAATAAGATATACACTTATTACAAGTGAAAATTACATGCACCAAGTGTCTCAAGAAATGACAATTATGTAACTAGAGCAGATATTGATGCATCTGACTCACTTGTAAGTAGTAACTCATTCAAAGGTCTGGTTGGGGAAAAATTAAATAACTTATATATCCATTAAGTTGCTTTTGATATTAGTTGTATTTGGATTTCATATCCTCCATCCAAGAAGTGTCTGGTATTAGTAGGGAAAAAATATTTTCTTTATCCATTATATGGTGTATGATATTAGCATCTTTATCCAAAAGAAAAAAAAAAAGAAATATAAGCCCTTTATCTGCTATTCTACACAAATGCAAGTTCATGATGGATTACTACAGGAAAACCTCAGGTTGCTGTGAGGAGGGATGACCGTGGGGTCATTTTTTAAATGGGATTCTTAGGACTGTCAGTAATAAAATTACAGTTTAATGGCTAAAAATAAAGCAGACAATCATTTTATATTCAGTGGAAAGTAGGGGGTCAAACTAATGGACAATCTTTGTTGTAACAGTAAGATGGGGGATGGAGAAGTAGGATGGCATAGAAGAGTTGTTAAAGAAAAACTAAAACTAACTTGAAACCTGTGCTGAAGCCATTTGGAAAATAAAGGGCTATCCTCTTTGCAGATGGAGAAATCACAGAAATAGATGCGAAGTCCCCTCAGACAGGGGAGTGGTAGCCATTTCAAGATGATTTTCCACCATCAACCCAGTCTTAGACCATTGCTTTTTGAAAGTGATACAAATTGAGATCACTGTCCTCCCAGACCTCTCTTTCAACCTCTGGAAAACAGAAATCCTGAGAAGCATCAGAAATATGTGTGGAGTGTTTGTGGCGGTGCAAGAACAATGGAGAAGACACCCAGAGACTGATTGACGTGATCCAAAAAGAGTTATCAGCTTGACCATTAAATCAAGTGAAATTAAACAGTTGAGAAAGGAAATGAAGAACAAGAGTAAAAATAACAACAGATCTGAACCGTCAAAAAAATCTGATGGTCAAGTTTAAAATCAAAGACTGTTCATAGGTGAAAAGTCAACTGAGGTCTCAGAAAGGTTGCGTTGATAAAAACGAGTCAGTTCTGTTGAGGAGGGCATAAGATTGAGAGAATACTTGAGGTTTTTTTTGTTAATAATCATAAAAGGGACATATTAGTCTTTTTCTTGCCTTGTATTAAATTAGTATTTAACTTAATGGAGTTGGGCATGCCCCCTAATACAGTTTTCTTCTCCCCAATTATTCTTTACTCTGTTTTCTTTGAGTCTAATCACAATATACAAAAGCCTATTTGGTATAAAAGCAGTCCTGAAGATTCTCAGGGCCTGACACACCTCCTGAGACAGTACTAATGGCATTGACTATACACATTAGCAGCCATACTGTTGTTGACTGTCATCTGAAAACCCTACATCCTGGTAGATGATGATTTTAGTGATTTTAGGGTAATCTTCATACATGTTTCAAGCCTGTTTGAAGGCATTTGACATTTTTTTATGGATTTTATGGTGAAAAGTTGAGAAAATTACAGATCGGGTTTTTTAATTGTTGCAGTCAGATGGTGCCAATAAAAAAACGAAAAAGGAGATTTTTTCAGGCAAATGGTCAATGATCTGTAAATGGTATTTGTTCTATTTGACCCAATACATATTTATGGAGACAGGGAAAGTGGACTGAGATTTTTTGGATGCTTGGAGAATATTTGACGAAACTTTTTATACATACACATTGCTGCCTAGCCTCTATATTTGACTATTCATGTCTGAACTAGTACTATAGATGACATCAGACATTACCAACATGTTTCGTTGAGGGATTCTTACCTCCTAGTTTCTGTTGGTAGTCTAGAGTTTCAATTGTGTGCCTTCCATTCTACCCAGTTTCTTCTGGAAGCCCTATAACTGGAAAATTAAGATTCTAGTGTAGGGGGAACTCAAGCTTCACTGAAGCATTGCTACAGATCAGGAGAGAAGACTCCAAGACTTGGTTTTGCATCAGTGGGTCTTGGGACAGCACTGATTTAGTGATTACAACTGTTAAGTTGGATGCAACCAACTACATAGAGTGGGAATGTTATGCCAAACTCTCCATTGGTGTTAGGAGTAAAATATGTTACCTCATTGGGAAGGAAATGGAGCCCAGTCCTGATGATCCTAACCATGCTAGCTAGGTGAGAGTAGGAAAACCTCGTGCTGACGTTTTAACTGGTAGGATCAATGAAGCCACATATTGCTTGGAATTGTATGTTCTTGGATACAACTAAGGAGATTAGGAATGTACTATCACAAAATTATCCTCAGGTGGAAAACACTACCAGAGCATACCAGCTAAGAAGGGAAGTGAGGAGTTTTTGCTAGGGAGAGTTGCTTGTATTTATGTACTTCTCATCTTTAAAGTCATAATAGGAGATAGACCACTGAGAAGCTGAACAGTGGCATTGTGCTAAGGATGCAAAACAGTGTAAGAAGTTAGAGAAAAAGAATAGGGTGTTTGAATTTTTGGCAGGGTTACATCTAAAATATGATTACACTATACAGAAAATCTTTAGCAAGTAGATTGAGTTTACTACATACATATTGTTTAGATTAAGCAGAAGAGAGTTGTAGGATTGCTTTGAAACATCAATCACATATAATACCACATTGTTTTAGTGTCTACTGTCTACTGTCTCAACAGAAAGGAGAAGATGGGAAGGTGGTTCAAGATCATAATCCTAAAGAGGTAGTATCTGATTAGTGTAAAAGGCTGTGGCATACCTGAGAGAAGTGTTGGAAGCTGAGTCCCCACTTGAGGGCCAGCCAAATTCAAGGGAGGAGTAGTAATTTTAAGGCAATAAAAAACAATAACAAATCAGAAAATAAAGGTACAAAGATAAGAAAGGAAGAAGGAAAAATTACGGAGAGAGAGAGAGAGAGAGAGAGAGAGAGAGTTGTGATTGTCTTGGATCACATGCCCCATCAATTTCACTTATATTAGTATGGTGAAAATTACAAAAAAAATCCCTATTATTCCAACATAATTACGTTTATTCAAAATGAAAATAATTTGACTGAATTGCCCCTAAACCTTGCAACACTCCCCTTCAAGTTGAGAATAAATGTCATACATGCCCAACTTGCTTAGATTATGTTTTAACTTGGGTTTAAGAACTCCTTTAGTCGAACAGCCAGCTAGCTGGTCTTTTGATCTCATAAATGGTACACTTCTCATTTACATCACACTCCTTGATGAAATGTCTATCCATCTCAATGTGCTTTATAGTTTGTACAATTGTGTTGAACTTGATTATAGGCAATATAGTTGGCAGTTTGAATATCACAATACAGTTTCATAGGCTTCTCAAGTTGTATGCTAATCTCTGCCAATAAAGTCTTCAACCATAAGAATTTGGAAACACCATGTGGCATAGCCCTATATGCTTTAGTACTAGATCAAGCAACTACCAGCAGCTTCTTACTCCATGAGACTAAATTTCCACCAACAAATGCACAATAGCTTGAAGTAGACTGTCTGTCATTAATAGACTGAGCCCAATCAACATCAGTATACTTATTCCCTCTCTTCTCTTAATTTAATGAAAATGATGTTATTGATAAAAAAAAAAATCAACATCAGTATACACCTCCACATTAATATGCCCATGATTAGAGTAAAGATGACCTTTCCGAGGAGCACCCTTCAAATAACACCAGATTCATTCCATGGCTTGCATATGAGAAGTTCTTGGCTAATGCATGTATTGACTACCACACTAACAATAGAGACATCTGGCTAGGCCAAACAAAGATGGAACAACCTGCCAACCAACCTCTGATACTGTCCTCTATTAGGCAACAACTCACCTTTGTTCACTCCAAAATAGTTAGGATCTACAGGAATGTCAATAGGCTTTGCTCCCGATTTCCTTGTCTCCTTAAGGTCTAGAACAAATTTTCTCTAAGAGATAACAATCCTTTCATAGATCTGGCCACCTTAACGGTCAATGCCAAGAAAATAGTTAAGAGATCCAAGGCTCTCAATCTCAGATGGATTATTACCAGAAACCACAACATCATCCACATATACAATAAACAATGTAATTGAGTGCTCAAATCTCTTAGTAAAGAGTGTTGTTAGCATGAGATTGTGTGAACACAATCTTTTGATTCCTCCAAACTTGTCAAACTAAGCACATGGTGGCTGTTTTAGTGCATATATATCCTTTCAAACTCTGCATGCTTTCTCTAATTTGAGTTTCTAATTTAATTTAAAAAATCAAATCAGGTTTAATTTGTAATTAACAACTTATTTCATCTAAAATGATGTGACCGACACCATTGAAAGTCTTTCTAATGAGTCTTTTATTTGAATTAGAAAGACCAATATGGGTCCCATATCTTTTGAAGTGGTTATTTATTTATTTATTTATTTTTTATGGGTAACCACATGTCTGAGGAGAAAGCTTCTATTTATGAGTGAAAAGTACCCACTTCTTGGATGCTATTTGTAGGATGGGGATGTAAGGCTAGGTTGGGGAGCGGTCTCTTTGAAAGACGAAGAGAGGCCTCGAGAGTGAGGGAAGGTGAAGGTCATTAGGTAGAGGGCTTAGAAAATGAGAGGGTTGTAGATACTCGAGAGTATCAGTAACAAATGCTTAGGATCGGACGAGTTCTAACGTGAGGAGGATCTCTATTTATGGAGGAGGTCCCCATATCCTAAAAGGTAGGAGATTAAGATATTCGCTCCGTATTGGGGAAGGGAATATTTAATTTGCTGTCAATCATTGGGTGCGCTACTGAGGTATCGCCACGTGTTTCATGAGGATCTTCTCAAGGATTGGCTTTTCTTATCCTTGATATTCTTTATTACTCACGTGTGCTACTACCTTTTTGCGCGTCATAACTAATCCATGTGGCAACGGTGACGTCATCGTTCGGCGGTCGGTATTTCGTCATCTCTACGTGGCGGCTTGCAAAGTCCTTTGCCGTCTTGGATTCGCGTGTGTTTGGGCACACGCGGGCCTTGCCGTGGGCTTGGCCTACTGCCTTTTCTATCCCGTTATCCAAAGCGGGCTCGCAGGTTGTGAGTTCATCGCATGTTATAGCGGGTGTGGCTTCATCACACACTTAGGTGTGTTTGGGTCTCTTGGACAGGTCTTTCTAAGGTTTATTTAAGTTCGGGCGTTAACTGAACTTGGTGAGCCGTGGGTTTATCGCAGCTTTGCTTAAAGTTTTGTGGGTTCATCGCAAAGGTGGCGGTGTACCACAAGTTCATCGCAGCATGGGGGTTGATTGCAAGCTGCTTGTAAGTGCTTCTGCGGTATTACTCTTGGTGTCTAAGTGTTCTTTGAGGGTCTGGGTGAGCTGTACACACCTACACTATTTCTTGAAAAAATAGAATGTCATGTTTTGAAGGATGAGCTCTCTAATCGGAGGGCTTAACTTTAATACACACACATGTTTTTTCTTTTTTTTTGATCGGCAACACAGAAGAAAATCTTCCCTTTAGGAACCTTAACCAACTCCCATGTTCAGTTCTTAAGTAAGGCATCCATCTCCTGGGTCATCACCTCCTTCACTTAGGATCCTACATTGCCTAAGTAATAGTATGGTGAATAAACACAAAAGAAATAACAAAGAGAAAAGCATAGTAGGAAGGTGATAGAGCATGATAGGACTTAATAGAAACAACTATTTGCTGATTTGCTCGGTTCAAGAGTTTCCAACCCAAGCATAACCCGAGGTCTAACCAAACCAACTAGGCTTGGAAACCAGTTTGACTCAGTCAGGTACGCATTTGGACTAGCTAAAGCGGCACCTTTAAACTCATACCTAAGCATTGTGACTTACAAAAACTTTGATGGTTAATGGTGGCACTCAATTTTGGAGAATCCTTAGTTTGGTAAGCTTTGGGAACTTATAGGTTTCCATCATAGTTGTCAAGGTGATGCCTAGGCAATAAGCCACTCATGGAGGGCCACCTTGCTTAATTGCCAAGATATGTTTTACATGTTACTTTTGGATACTTTTATATTCTTAACTTTTTGAGACTATAATATACATTTTTGAACTAAATTATTCAGTTTGTGAGTTGAAATATTAGTTTCTTTTTATTATTTTTCTTATTTGTTAGGGTTCAATCAACACGTATACTGTCTTGAACCCTCGAAGACTTCAAAAGCTGAACTGATAGACAAGGAAGAACTCAAAAATTTTGTCCAATCAACACATATTGATTATTATTTTGTCAGTGCTATTGTTGTTGTTCTTCTTTTTTCATCCTTTCTTTTCTTCTTTTCCTATGACAAAAATAGAGGCTCAGCCCCTCTATTTTCTAAAATTCATTTTCTTTCTTCCATTTTTTCATGAATGTGTTGATTTTTTTTATGTTCTAAATGAAGTTTATACATTTTTTGTGAAGATTATAGACAATTAATAGTGAAAGATGGTTGCTGTTATTGAACACCTAGGGACTCACCCAAGGATTCATGGCTTTTACTCAAAAAAAAAAATAATAATAATCCATCGCCTAGGCAATTAGGTGACATGGTACCCCCTATCACCTAGCCTCACTTTGACACCTTGAAAACAATGGTTTCCATGTAGATTCTATTCATGCACATATAAGTGACAAACTGCCATAGTGCCACTAATTGTTTAAAAACAGTTTAAGCAACACAAACATGCTTAAGGGTCTATTTTTGTTAAATGTTAACAAAAAATTCATAAATAGACTTAGCAGGTCTAGAGTCTGGGGTGATAAAATTTGTAGGCTGCATTGTGGTTATAGTAACTAATCAACCATATACCTACTCCTAGATATAACCATGGTTCACAATATTGGCAATATTTGGTGATGTATCCCTGAAATATCCCCATTTAAAATTTAAAACTTTATTTACAAATTTAAAAAGAGGTACTTGATTAATATACTATATATTTAAAATTTTAGAACATTGTTAAAAACTTTTCAATATTTCATTAAAATCATCATAACTTTTTAAAAATTTTTTCCTAAAAGAACTAGCAGGGAATTGGTGATTGGATAATTAGCTTACTACTTTCCTATGATTCACTCACTAAGTCACTATAGTTCAAAAGAAAATGAAAAAAATGCATATAACTACAAAAGTGTATTCTCAATATAATCAAAACATATAGTAACAATAAAGATAAAAGTTAATAATTGACATATATAAATAAGAGAAGATGGCTAAAGACCAAAAGGGAGACAAAGAGAAACATACCTATTACAGTCTCCTAATTTTTCCTATTTGATTTATATAGTTCTTTGCTATGGTTTTCAGTTTCAAATGTGCAATTATATTTCTTCTAATAGTCTCTTGAAGGTTTATTAACTAATTCTGTGTTTCTAGAAAACTTTACTAATTTTTTAGATTTTCCAAATGTCTTAGTGAAATATTTCTGAAATTTCTCCAACTCTACATGGCGAAATGTTCATTGATATCAAAATTAAGAACCATGGATATACCTTTAACTTTAATAATAAATATCCAGATGTAAATTTCTACACTTACAACTGAAAAAATTGATATCAGTAATAAACCAATTTTCAAATCCTCCTTTCCTCTTGTCAAGAACTCTATTAATACATTTTGAATAAAACCAACCAAGTTCAAACATACCTGCATCAAGCATACCAAATAGGAGTTCTTTTGCTTTATCCATTTCCAGGACCTTGCAAAACCCATGAATCAGAGCCTTGTAAGTGAACTGGTCAAGGGACAATCCAGCTTCTAACATCTTAATCTTCACCCTACATGCAGAATCCATATCTCCAATCTTGCAGTAAGCATTAATCAATGTGTTGCAGGTTATGTTATCAGGTTCAACCTTCCTGCCACTCATTTCGCTCAAGAGATTATTTGCAGCTCTCATCTTGCCTTCTTCGCACAACTTACGGAGGATTGAATTATATGTAATAACCCCAGGGTGCAACCCTTTTGCTTCCATTTCCTCACGCAATCTTAAAGCTGCCTCCACATCATTCACTCTGCAATATCCATCAATCAGTGTAGTGTATGTTATCTGGTTGGGGGTTGCACCTTTAATCTCCCTAAAATTCCTTGAAGCTTCCCTCATTCTTCCCTCTCTACAGAACCCATAAATAAGGGAGTTATAGGTAACAATATCAGGATGTATTCCTTCTCTCTCCATTCTCTCTTGAGCAGACAAAGCCTCATAATGCATACCATTCTTGCAGAATAGTGAGATCAATGTGTTGTAAGTGAAAAGGTCTGGGAAAATACCCTTTGACTCCATCTCATTCAACAATATCTCTGCCTTCTCCACATCCCCAGACTTACAGCAAGCATGGATCAAGACATTGTAGATGTGGATATTTGGGACAATCCCAATACGGAGCATCTTTTTGTAGGTTTTCCATGCTTTATCAGTGAGTCCAGCTTTCACCAATGCACTCAAGATTGCACTACAGGCATGTAGATGAGGTCTGAACCCATTGGTCTTCATTTGTTCAAACACTTGCAGTGCATCTTGAGTCATTTTTGATTGAGCATAAAAGATCACAAGCCAACTTAGAATTTGTGAGTTTGAATTAGGGTCACTCTGGCTACTTATAAGTGCACTAAGCACCAAAGGTGACGAAAGGAAATCCCTAAAAGCAATTCTTTTGAGCAACTCCTGTGCAGTTGTATACTGTTTTTGCTCAGTGAGGATATGAACCATGGTCCAATTAGGCTGTAAAGACTGCTTGTAATGAGGAAGGGATTCTACCCACTTGAAGAAAGCCCAACAAAGAGGGCCGTCTAAGGAGAGATAGAGCAAAATCCGGTTCACAAGAGAGGGTGTAAAGCAATGAGACATCTTGGGTTTCAATAGGTTGAGCCAGTTTCCCTTCATAAGGACAGCACAGACACTTTGAGCAAACTTATTCTCATTTCTTTGAGATGTCACAAAAGCCATTTTGATGAAAGCCCTTCAGTTGTCCAAAACTCTAAATCTACAGAAGAAAAAACAAAAAAGAACATCTACTTACTGTATTGCAGATTAGACAATAAGCAAGAAATTATAAAACCACATCCATGGAACAATCAGAAAAGCCAGGGGAAAACAGTTATAGATGAAGTAAACAAAAAATGATGAACGGGGTAGATAATCAGTGTTAATGGTCTGGCTTTGATATCGGCGCCTTCAACCTTTTTTGATAAGTTATCAGGGCCTTCAATTACTCGATAAAATATCAGATTATGAAGATGTTTTTGTTCATACAATTAGCAAGTTCAACGGAGATGAAAACGTTGAATCACAGCCTGAACTGAAAATGAATCAACCTACCAAAGATCGGTTTCCCGGACAACGGTCGAGGGTTGATAGAAACTCTCCGAACTAGCCTCGATCACCATTGCTCTTAAATAAGATGTTTTTTGGTAGAGCTGTGTGTGCCTGTTTTTTACTGTTCAATACAACCATTCGAACTTCGAAAGCTCGAAGGTGTTCACCGGGGTTCTGAGTTCTGAAACCAGTTCCTCCCAGGGGTGTAATGGGCCGTCAATGGGCTTAGCACCTATAATTAGGGCTCTAACCGTGCCTGAAGTATAGGCCCAAGCCCGGATCTATGCGGGCCTGGGCCGGGTTTTAGGCCTTTATCACAAAAAAAGGGAACACAGTCTGACGTGGAATGAGAATCGTTTGACTGGAGTTGAGTCGGACGAATGCTATGCCCTTGGAGTCTGGATCACCTACCAAGAGAATGTGTTCCATTCCCTACCAACGTGATCCGACACCGCACATCTAATACATAGCGGGTCCCACTTTTATGGTAGGTCCCATTGTCATACTACTGGGTGGCAGCAAAACTATCCGAATTGAGATTGACGCCCCACGAGCGCGCGCCCCACATGTATCTGAGCGTGCATTGGGAACATCTCCCATAGAGATGCTCCTAATATATGGTTGGGATGTTCTGTGGGACGCGCTTTGTGGGGCGACCATGCGAATTCAAACTATCGGTCTCACTCACCTACCACCGGTGACCGGTCTACCTACCGAGTCGGACGGATGCTGTTCTTCGATTCCTGCTTTATTGCTTCAAGTGTAAACACTAAACACTTCTCCTTTTTGGGTGTAATTCTGAACACTTCTTCGGAGTAATTCAATCATGTCGGCCTCAACTAGAGATCCTCAGGTCATCACCTGCAAAGGTAATTCAGTTTCGGTTTGTTCCATTCTTATATGAATAAATGGTGGTTCTTTGTTTTCTTTGAATCTTTGATCTATGTTTTCTTTCTTTAGATTGAACTTCAATCCTTCATTTACCATGGCTTCACTGCCATTGACCGGCATTTCCACTTTTTCTTCAACTGCTATTGTTATTTATTTGTTTTCAATTCGTGTAGCTGCCGTTGCCTGGGGTCCCGGAGAAGCTCTGGTGTTGGAGGAAGTGGAGGTTGATCCCCCGAAACCGATGGAAATTCGTATAAAAGTCGTTTGCACCTCGCTCTGTCGGAGTGATATTACACAATGGGAATCTAAGGTGTCATATATCTGAGCTTCCTTTTCATTTATTTGTTTATTTTCTTTTGAATGGTTATAACTTATAAACAAAAAAAGAAGAAAGTTGCATCGTAAGCTTTTTTTTTTGGGACCAGTCTTTAGCTTTTGCTATATCTAGTCTATTGGCTGGTGTTGCTCTCATTATGCTTGCCATGAAATTTGGTTAGAAAGAAACCATATGATATATGATAGGAATGTTCATTTTATTCATTACGTGAAGGAAATTATTATTCATTGGTGAAATGAAATTGCTTATAACATAAAGTGCCTATGTTTTTGTAAGAATCTCACATTAATACTCTTGGGGATTCAAAAGATACAGGATATGAAGAAACAACTTTTTCATTTTTTAGATGGAAACAGAGTAAAATGAATACAGAGTAACTCATGCAGTTAATGCTAAAATAAAGATAGGCATTATTAGTTTATTACCAATAAAGTTGCCGAAGGAAACTCTTATAATGAAGAATTATCAGCATTGTTTTTTGGCCTAAAGCTT